TTCTGTCAAAAATTAAAGCAATAATTCAGTCGGGGATTGTTCCTGGAGACTCCAGCAGCAACCTTCTGTGCTGGCCTGAGGAAATCTTCCTGTTTTAGTGAGGAGGGAGGGACGAAGGGGGAAGAAAAGAATATAAATGTATTACCACTGAACTATACACTTAAAAATGGTAAAGATGGTAAATTTTATATGTAGCTTTAACTTCAATAAAAATGTATTAAAAACATGAAAACCAACTATAGAGCAGCATTTCCCTCCTTGATTTTAAGATGCATTTCTTCAAATCCTAAGGATTCTGAAGTTAAGATGAACATATAAACCAAACTCTAAAATCAAATGACAAAAAACATCCTTACCTATTTCTACACAGAGGAGCAAGTTGGAATATTGCTTAAATGGAACATAAATTTTAAATTTGGTAATTCTTCAAATGTCTCCCAAAAGACTGTACCATGATAGACCATGGAGAAGAAAAGTTATCATACGCACAGAAGATAGATCATCACTGCCAAGCAACACAAATGCCAAAACACAGAGAGCAGGACACGGAATTTCAAAACTAGCAGAGATGAGTGTGGCCGATTCACGGATCAAACAGGACCATGATTCAGATATTGAACATGTCTGTTACAATTTCTGGTTGGCTTTCAAGAGATGCTCTTTGACTTCTAGGTATACAAAATTCAATTACAACAGTAAAAGTATGCCTTTAACCAAATAAAAAATGTAGAAGAAAATGATATTCTCTAAAGACCTCACAATGTCACTATGAATGTAAAGGTGCTACAGAATGAAGGTCATGAGTGCATGTTGTGAAAAGCATGTCCTCATGATGCTACCGTGCGTGACTATGAAAGGTCAGAAGTTATTCAGAGCAGTCTATACTCCCGGTGTGAAGTCAGCTTAGAAAGTATGCAATACAGAAAAAATAGTAAAGAAGTAAACTGACAAATATATCATACTTTTGTGTAAATTTATTCCAGTCTTTCTTCCCCTCTACTCCCTCCTCTAGAAAAGCTGTTAATAGACCAGTGGTTGATCAAGAGATCAACAAGGTTTTCTGTGGGAAGGCCTTAGACATCCAAGTACCAGAGTCTGAATTCTAACAGACACAGATCTTCACTACCTATGAAACTCTCTCATTTGCCGTTCAAACAGAAGCGTCCTTGGGATGTCTGCTTCAAACCTAAGGAAATGGAGGTGTTAGGATGCGTCATAAGGAGGTTGCTTACCTCTTTCCAGTACTTCATCTTTATCTTGAGAATGTACCCACATCATCGAAGTGACTTTTAGGAAGCACAGCAGACAACAGTTTAGGAATTATTTGGTCTTGGCAAAATTCATATGTGCCATACTTTGTTCTCTCAAAGATAACATGCCTGCCCTGTCTATCTGATCGGGTTATGGTAAAACCCTAATGAGAAAACGTAAGAGAAGGCCTTTTTCAAACTATAACTACTATATAAATGCAATTTTTTACCTGCATCATCACAAGGACACAATGATTTATAACACCAAATTTTAACACCAAAGTCATCTTTTAACCACTATGCAGTACCATGGAGTAAACTTCTAAAAATAAAAAAAGCACAAAGGCATCCTGTGCTACTCAAGCTTAACGATGCAGACTATTGTTGCAGCCTGATGGGTTCTTCTTGCCCGCTGCCTAGAAAAGCCAATGCACTGAAAACAGCAGGTATTACAGCAAAGAGCGGTTAATAATCATAGGGCCAGCCAACTAGTAGGACAGGAGGTATTTCTCAAATACGCCTCCCCAAGAATTTGGAGGCTAGGGCTTTTTAGGGTACTTTGGCAGGCAGGGAGCTGGGGAACTGAAATCACTGATTGACCGAGGATGAAATCACAGCGGTGTCTAAAACTGTCTTCACACAGCTGAGTCAGTTCCTGGGAAGGAATCTCAGGACCAGGTGGCATCTCGTGGACTGCCAAAACACTAAATCTGAAAAATACCTCGAAGACCAGTTCTTTAGATTTCACAATAGTGATGTTATCTGTAGGCGTAGTTGGGGAAGTTACACACTTTGTGAGCCCCAGTTACATGATTCTGGGGCAGTCAGCAACTTATGGACAAGCAAGCTAGTCAATGGCAGGTCACTGTTTAACTCTGCCTATTCTTTAGCAAAGCCCAACCCCCTACCATAATTCTAACCTTCTGACCTCTTTACAAATACAGTTTCAATTTTTAAACATGGAGGGGATCCATTCCAGGAAAGGACCACTATGGCCTCTGCACAAGAATGATCAAGAGCAGTTCAGCCAAGTAGAAGCAACATGGAGTCAGTTAAGTCAGATTCCCGTTGCCACTACAATTTTTGCAAAAACTGTTTCACTATTAGGTTGCTGATTCCATTCTAATCTAGGAGTTGCTTCAAATCGTCCATGACTTAGACTCCATCTAAGGGCTTATTCTCAACTTTTGAGTGAAGTATCAAGTGTTTCCTTGTTCTTACTAAAAGCACCGTCTATTCAAGTATCCACCTTCTTTTTCTTTTTAAACTTACTTGGTCCAGTGATTTCTTTTCAGTCAAAGGAACATGTTTGTGCAGAGTTCACAGCAAAAGCCCATCTTGCAAGAATCTTCCCTGACCCTCCCTGGGTCAGGCTTCGTAACCGCCTTTAATATCAGAAGGCCCGACACATAACTTCTGCCACCCCAGCTGAGTGTGTGACTCAGCATTTAAAACCCTGACTGTTTTTTCTTTTTCAAGGAGGCCAACTATTTTGCAACACAAACACTTGTTAAATGGAGTTAATCCATCAACTACTACAAATTTCACTTAAACACAGATTGGACAAATATGTTTCTTCACAAGCCTGGAGAATTGTTTTCAGCCAAGACACCCAAGACGGTACAGATGGGGAGATCAAACCTTCCCCCGGAAGGAGTCCTGCAGCTGAATCTGGAAGTCTCTGGAAGATCGCTAGGAGGCGGCAGGAGGCCTGGGCTCCTGGCCCACAGATAAGAAAAGAAAATCTCTTCCTGGCCAAACTAGAGCTCTTCAAAAGCATGAAACTCTCCCAATTCTCCCAGAATTTCCCCTCTCCTATGTACAACAACGAAACACACAGGTGCCAAACGCTCCCATCCTAGAAGGCAAAGAAACTACAACTCTCTGCTTTGATAAAGAGTCATCAAAGGTTGGGACCATTCAGGGTTTTATTTTCCAAACTCACTGCTGGCCTCGAGGAAGTATGACACCACCATCCTAAGCACAGGGCAGCTGTTCTTTTTTGGCTAGAGTTCAGTATAAACCTTACAAATGTTCTGCTAACTTTCTCTCTCTCTTTTTAAAAACAAATAACAATTTTTTAAAATGCCATAGTCACTTAACTCCCAGCCTAGGGTTTTCACTATAAAGGTTTTCCTGCAGGACGGAGAAAAACATGTATTCCTAATATATTTCTGAGCCAAAAAGATGCCAGTAGGTTATTCTAACCAGAGAAATATAATGGAATAAATAATTAGGCAGATTGAAAATCAATGGCTAAAACAGTTCCAAAGAGTCAGTGAATTCCAATGATCTCTGAAGTATTAACAGACAAAAATCTAGCAACAAAAAATGTACTTTTCAACAGAGGCCTTCAGTAGTATAGCCACTGAATATACTTTTATTTAAGAGTGAGAGTCAGATATCAGAAGACTTCCCTTTCATTCCAAAATTGTGGCCCATTATAAAGATACCACAATGGCTATATTTTACTCATTATTCAGCTGTCCTAGCTATAAATTACCTATAACCAGCAGCATGTACGTTCACACCATGAAATGTCCCAAAGCGTGGCATCTGTCTTTCCTCCCGTGTTTCCCCATTACAGATTGAAATATGCACAAGGGCTGGATGCTGGCAGTGCTTTCAAAACGAAAATGAACCTTTCACAGGGCAAATTAATGTTCCTTATGAGTTCAGTGTGTGTATTTGTGACAGACCCACACACAGATTCAGGAAAAACTAAAGTCATTCTTAAGCCTTTGGAAATTCTTGGGAAATCAATAGACTCATAAGACCAAAAGCGGGAACCTAGACTTGGTTTATCAAACCAAAGCTGATAAATCCCTTACGGAGTCTGGAAGCATGGAGTTCCCTCCCCTTACATGTTCACTTCCCTTCATTTTTACCCTTGTAGCTGCCATATGATTGCCAGACCATCACATCACCTGCTTAATTTCCACCTTGTACACACTAAGAACTACATGGTAATCCTAATCTACTGTGCATAAAGGCCTTGATTCTCACTGACTTACTAAACTGACCCCTAAATACTAAGCAAAATTCGAGGTCACTGGCTTCTGTGTATTGACTTCTTCTATGCTAACTACTCTCAAACTTCATCCCTCAGCCCTTGCAGTCCTCCAGCCATCAGTCCATGGAAGTTCTTCTGTATTGCTAGGCAGCTCCATGCACATGCTTCACTGCAGTTCTTTTGTAAAATGGTCTGGCCTTGTTTCAGGAAACAAGAATAATACAGACATGGAAAAAGTCTATTGCTCCCTTGTATCCAAATGATAAAAAAAAAAAAATCCATCACACACAAGCTTATTCAAAGATACACGTGTGTATGTGTATCTTATGTGCACAAATACACAGCCTGTATTCACTGGAATTATTATCACTTACAAGCATCATATGATTTTAACGTATGAATTTACTTTAGCCACCCTCACCTGTCATTCCAAATGAGGACTAAACAATAGTGGGAACATTTTATCCCTAATAAATGATGGAGTTATCTGATCACAAAGGATGCTTATAATAAATACATTCGCTAGCTTTCTTAGGAAAAGATAGCCATTTGGAGAATCAAATAGCAAAAGATCTCACCACCTAAACACTCCCATTTAGAACACCCACCTCATCGTACTCACACGCTGCCTCTGAGCTCCAAGTCACCCTGCACAGACACAGTTGGGGTTATTGTCATGACAAAAGGTGGGAAACGGGGGCCAGCCCCACCTTTGGGGCTTTCTCGAGCCTTCATACCTGTGCTGATGCTCCTGTAAGACTTGATAAATGCTGATAAGAAAAGTTTGGTTTTTAAAACTCCCCATAACACAGTCCTTGTAGATGCGGAATTCTGCAGCCGTCACCGCCTCACCCTCAGGAATCTGGGATAAGTTGAACTTGAACTCTTTGTGGTGTCGCTGACGAGGGGAGAACTCCTTGTCGTACTCCACTATAAGATTAAACAAGAGAGAGTGACAACTATTGTTACTTGACTAAGTGCCACGGGCTCACCTCACCAGTTTCCCCGTTTGACTTCACACCTGGATTACGAGTTACCCACAGCTTATCCGGGGGATCGGCTAGTGAACAGATCACTGGTTGGCCCATGAGGAGGAGATGAAAATCCTTCATGCTACCCGAGATTAAGCAAAATTCTTAGATTTTATTTAGTTTAAATACTTCCGCTTGTATACTTATTTGAATGAATTTGCATAGAGAGAGTTATGAAAATTCTTGGCTTAAAAAGTTTTCTCATCTGCAAAAATGGGAAGAATATGACTTCACAGGAAAAGGTGTGAGAATTAATGAAGCAATGAAGAAGAACCCGTCTGCCCATGCTGGCCCCGTTATGCCCTCCTGGCCCCCTTTCCTCCCAGCTACTCTTCCCTCCTCAGGCTGGTTCACGTGTCACCATCAGCAGTCGACATAACCAGGGACAGCCCTGAGCTGAACGTTGGTGGGGATGGCTGAGGGTGGGGAATGGGGGTAGGCAAAGCATTGTGCCTGGGCCTGAAGTGTAAAGGGTCTTCACATTTTGCTTGTTCAGTGGAAATGTTTATGCCTTCCTCCTACTGGTAGATCCTGAAGGCCTCATGACTCTGAGCGGGGGGGACTCTCCACACCGAGAAGTTGCTGGAACCCCCATTTAATCTGCATGTAGATGCCACGAAGACGTGGAAGGAAATCACCAACAGAGCCACTGCCATTTTCTCACAGTTTACATTGAAAGAAAGAAAAAACCGCAGGGAAAGGATAGACTCTAAAAGGTTTTTTCATATGGAATCAACCCATTGTGCAGTGAAGGAAGAATGAAGAAAATGTGGTATATGCATAAATGCATTTGTATTTGGTCTTAAAAAAGAGGGAGATTCTGCCACTTGCAACATGGATGAACCTGGAGGATGTTATGTGACGTGAAATAAGCAAAGCACAGAAAGACAATCACTGCATGATCTCACTTATATGCAGAATCTGAAAAAGTGGAACTCACAGAAGCAGAAAATAGAACGGAGGTTACCAGCAGCTGGGAGAGGGGAGGAGTACCGGGGAAAGGGTCAAATAGTACAAAGGTTCAGTTATGCATAACGAGTGAAGTCTGGAGACCTAACGTACGGCATGATGACAAGAGTTAATAATACTGTATTGTATACTTAAAATTTCTAGAAGAGCAGATCTTAACATTCTCACCACAAAAAAATAAAGCCGTGTCTCTGTGAGGTGATAAACACATTAATTAGCTTGATAGTGGTAATCACTTCCTAATGTATAATCAGTATATCAAATCACATTGTATCCCTTAAATACATACAATATTTGTCAATTACATCACAATAAAGCTAGAAAAAATACGTTTTTAAAATAAAATCTTTTTCCTGCATGAAGACAAATGAGAAATTGCAATTATTGATGATTTTTCAGTCAGCTTTTAGATGTCTATACAAAGTCCTGTGTGAGAAACGTGATATCAAACTTCAGATGCCTCACTTATAATTGCTGTAAAAGGAAAGAAGGAGTGCTCTGCTTCCCACCATAAACCCTTGACTCTTCTCCCCAGAGTCAGGAACACTTTTGCCTTGCTGTTCTGTTCGTTTTTCCTTAATGGCAACCAAAGTGAAATCTCATGAGCAAATTAATCCTTTTAGCAGAGTTTTCCCAAGGTTTGTGGGTAGAAAAAATAATTATTAGCTACCTCCAACTTCCCACTTTCTCTTACACATGTTGTTTTTCATAATTACCAGAGAAAAGCTTTGGAGATTTAGCTTCTTTTAAAAAAAAAAAAAGAAGGAAAGAAAGAAAGAAAAGAAAAGCTAATAACTCCCCAGAAGAATCTAAGTCCTCAATGGCATTTGCAGAAGCTAAGTTAAGCCATCTATAGGTACAAGATTTTTTAAAAAGAATTTCTGAAACTGCCATGTAATTACACAACACATTTTTTAGATTCGAGACCTTTTTTTTTATTTTGAGGTTAGAAAAGAATAAGCTTTGGCTTCTGTAAAAGCTTGAGTATAAGCAAAAAGAAGTCCAGCCAGAAAAGTAAACCACAGTTTAGCCCCAACAAGAGAGCAGGTTTTCTAATTAGTGGCTACGCATGAAAAGCAATATTGTTGGGAAGTTCACCCAAGGACACCCACACATGACGGTGTATCACTTTTCCCTAAAACCGATCTGCCTTTTAAGTTTGATATGTTATCATCGTTGGTTAAAAAGTGAATCAAATCTGATTTTCCAAAGAGACTTTCTAAAAACAGTCACACAGCTTTTCTTCAAAGAGCCTTTTGGAGGCCTAATTGTAATATTACTAAATGAAAATAATATTTTAAGATTCGCTGGACAGCATGTATAAGAATTCCTCAAAGAAGTCTTTCAATAAACTTCCTTACTATAAACAATGAGAAAAAATATAAGAAATAAGATGTAAGACAGTAACTTTAAGATATTTCAGTTATAAGGAGCAGAGAAAGGGGCAGACATTTTTAATAAAGGAGAAATGTGGTAGCTGGTCTTTTAAGAGGTATGCCATCCCCCGTAAACCACTCCTCCCAGCATCCATGCCCGTGGGTGGTCTGCTCCCTTCGGTGACTCTAAGCTGGCTCTGTGGCTGGCTCTATGACCCGTTTTGGACCCACAGAATGAAAGTCTTCAACAGTGGTGCCGAGTGACTTCCAAGGCTGGGTCATAAGCTTTGAACTTCCTTCCACTTAGGCTTCTTGGAATGCTTGTCTGAGGAAAGACAGCTGTCATATAAGAAGTGTGACTACTCTGAAACTTCCATGTTGTGAGGAAGCCCAAGTTAGCCATGTAGCAAAGCTACACAGAAGGGTGGAAGAGGCGAACAGAGATGGGGGGTGGGTGGGAGAAGAGAGAGACAGAACACACAAGCTGTCCAGCCTGTCCCCAGGCACCTCAGCTGAGGCACCAGAAGTGTTATGAAGACGCCATCTTGGATGCCCTTTGCCTGACTCAGCCCCAGCTACCATCTGGCTGCAGCTGCTCAAGAGACCTTGAAGAACCACCTAGATGAACCTAGTCATTCCACAAGACCGTGAGAGATGGTAACTCGCTGTTGTTTTAAACCACTATGTTTTGGGTGACTTGTCACACGGTAATAGGCAACTAACACAACAAGGGAAAGGGGGACGGGAGGACAAGAGGAGGGAGGAGAGAGAAGGGAAGTCTAACCCTGCCAGGAAGGGGATAAATTACATGCAACTCTTAAGGATAAGGATTGTGCAATGCTGGGAGGCAATATGTACGACTAAGGAAGAATCTTGGCAAACGCTCACAGATTTGAAGATGTGAGGAGATAAAGAATCTAAAAATGAGAAAACAGAAGCACAGTTCAAAGCATTCATTTTATTACAACGTAAAATAGAACCCATTGCCTCCTATGTGGATTTTCCAATTTTTCCTCTACCAAAACGACGTTATCGTGAAGCACTCTGAACTTTCTTCTCCTTTATCCTTCTTGGAAAACAATGCATGGCTTCCTTAGTGCCATCCAAGAGACTCTGATTGCCACCCATCCCATTACTCTCTGGTCTTCTAAGCTGCTCCTGTGCCTCTTGCCTCAAAGCTATACCACCTTCCTCACTCCGCTCATGAAGTTTGCTCAGAACTCCTCCCTTCCCCTCACTTTTTTGCCTGCGTTTGAATTTACACAGCGCATTTGCTAACGTCTCATAGGGATATAAGAAATAAATACAATTAGGTTACTGCCTATATATGCACTTGAACACCACAATGGTAAAACAGTAATGTTTCTAATGAGCTCAGCAATTCAAGCTATATGAGTCAAGACTCCTCAAATGCCAGACAGTTCAAGAAATATCAATGGGAGAGAAAGGGAGAGGGCTGAGTTCCAAATTCAGCCCTCAGTACCTACTTTATACCCATTAGCATTTGGCTTACTGATGATGGGGTCAGATGTAGTCACAATTAAGTCGTAGTCAAGAATGTTGGTGACATGTCAAACTGCGACACTGGTGTTGAATTCTAGCTTTTCTTTTTCTTACCTATATGATGCTGAGTTAAAATTATATTAACATTTCAGTATCAGTTAAATGGAAATAATAACACTTCTAAAGATTAGGTGAGACAACCTATACTAAATAGCCAATGCCATGGTGTCAATGCCCAGTCAATGTTAGCCATGATCATCACTGGCTGTTATTTGAGAATCCAGGTTCTCGGAGCTTGGAGTATGTCTTTGCTGAGTAATCCAAATGTATTCACGAGTCTACAGACAGGGCTGACGACTGCTCCCTCTAAATTAGCTTTTTCAATCAGAGTGAGGCATTCCGTGAAAGTGCAGTCAGTGAAATCTCACTGAGCATCAGCCTTGGTGGGTGGCTCCTGAATGCAGTGCTGTGTTCTCTGAGGCAATAATTCCTAGAATTTTTAAATTTCAAGGACCAGTCAAGACAGTTTTTGAAATGGTAATCACCTTACACAAGGTTATCTGCTTCTTCTGTTTGCTGTTTTTAAGGACAATAAAAACAAAACAACATATTGCATGCTCTAACTCTACCACTGCATTTCTAAAAGTCCTCTCAATACTAAATAAAATAGGGAGGACATAACGCACAAATGCGGCTTTATAAAACTCACTTCCTTCTCTCCTTTCTGCCTCAGACTAGACCAGTGGAAATTTCTGATCTGTCCTAGACCTTTGGCCAACAAGTAGGAACAAAAGCCTTAAGGAACAAGAATCGCTGGTTTAAGATTTAAAATGTAAATTATGTAATTATACATACAAAAGGATGTATGCAATTTATGGAGGTAATGAAGCATAATAATAAAGCATCAAGGAAACCATCACCCAACTTGAAAACCAGAGAGTGACTGAGACTGTTGTATTCTTTCCTGATCCTCTCCAATTGCTTCTCTCCAAAGGCACCTCACACCAGGAATAATGTTTATCCTTCCCTTGCCCTTTAAAACCTAACAATTCTACTACATGTGTGTATCACTAAATCATACAGTGTTCCATTCTCCTCCTTTCCCTTTCCTTTTTAGAGACATGCTGGAAGTTGTACAGGCAGACTCACATGGAAAACCTAGGCCTAGTTATGGTTAAGAGCAAGGCAGCCTGTGCGGAGGGTCGTCTGCCTGTCAGCGGGTGAATGGCTTATGTGTCATAGGCGGGCATGGCTGCTGTGCAGGCAATGGTGACCAGTAACTCCTCTCCTTCTTCAGCCATACTTCATAGAGATCTATTAAAAATATGGGCATTTTCTGACAAGTGTTGATAAGGATTTAGAGAAACTAGAACCCTTGTGCTTTGCTCATGGGAATGTAAAATGGCTCAGCACGGTAGCAAATAGTGTAGCAATTCCTCAAACAAACATAAAATTAGCATTGACCCAGCAATTATCTTTCTGGATATATACGCAAAGGCATTAAAAGCAGGGCCTTGAACAGATATTTGTATACCCATGTTCATGGCAGAATTATTCATAATAGCCAAAAGCTGGAAGTAACCCCACATGTCCATTGACGGGTGAATGGATAAACACAATGTGGTACAGACCTATGATGGAATATTCTTCAACCTTAAAACGGAAGGAAATTCTGACACATGGCACCACATGGATGAACCTCGAGGACATTATGTGAAGTGAAATATGCCACCCACAAAAGGACAAATACTGTATAATTCCACGTATATGAGGTACCAAGCCTAGTCAAATCCATAGAGATAGAAAGG